CGATATCAGGCTTGTTGCTTAGCGACCTCAGAATATGATGGAGTGGATCCGAAAAAAAGACAAGGGAGATAGGGATGGCCATTTCTGGCTTGCTATATATTGTTGCTATATATGGTCCATGAGCAAGTATTTTGGCAGAGATTTACTTAGTTATTAGGTTAAAATACACATATATGTCTTTGCTCGCCGTATTAATACCATTCTCGTTTTACACGAGCTTGGGATGAGCAATGAGTAAGTGAGATTACACAACCTGCCGTTGCCATGGGCATTTTTGCCAAATAGCCGCGTTTTTTTCGCTGCCAGTTGGGGCGACCAAACAGGACATGTCTGCCAGGTCTGGGTCTGACTGTCTGGCAAACGAGGAATTCACCTCTCAACACACTTACTGTGGGAGCGAACTTCCCACCGGCAGACATCGGCGAATCCCCTGTCTCTGCCGACGTAACCTGCGCCGCATATGATGCAACATTTTTGGAAGGCACGCTGATCTGATATGCAGCTGCCTGTCTTCGGCGGAGATTGACTTACTTATTATGTTTACTTACACATAAATATCTTTGCTTGTCCGCTCTGTGGCCCGAGCCTTAGCAATGGGTAAGCCGGCTTACATAACCCTCCGTTGCTGTAGGCATTTTTTCCCACTAGCCGCGTGGTTTTCCCGTCAGCTAATGCGACCAAAACAAGACGCGCCTGCTACGTCGGCGGAGCCTGACTGTCCGTCAAAAAAAGATAGGAATGCATCGCTCTCTCAACACACACACTCACTGTCGGAGCGGACATCCCACTGGCGGACACCGGATCGAGATCGCTGTGTTTCCGTCCAGTTGGATTGCAGTTGCTGTTGTTGTTGTTGTTCTTGTCGCCTGCCATAGGACTCCCAGGATTTTTTCACATTGTCCAACTTGGCAGAGTGCTTCTGGTCCAGTGGTCCGTGCAGATTGCCTCCGCTGTCAATATCTGTCAATGCAGAGGGGTAAACAGTTTATTGTTGACTTATTTCACGCAAAAGTGCTAGGCTTATGGGGAGAAAAAGAGCCTCATAAAAAGGTTAAGTATCGAGATAATTTTTTTCTGATACTGGTGCTATTCCTTATTGGGTTAAAGCCTTGTTTCGGGCTCATTATAGCAAGCGAAAACTCCAACAAAACAGAAGAAAGAAAAAAAACATTATTAAAAAGTAGAGTACATAAAAGTAGAAAATAATATGAGTAATTGTTTCAATAGCCCAATATTTTTCGTGCGATATTTAAAGTGAAAAATACAACCAAGGGGAAAAATAACTGCCGGAGAGTGCCCGCGAAGTCCGTGCAGTCGTATATCGATTCTTTATAGAATTTTAGAGATTAAAGTAAAACCACTAAAGATGGGTTTATTCCCCATTTTTTAACAGCTCACAATACCTTCCAATCCATTTGGACCAATATGGCAGTAAGAAAAGCCAAAAACGAAAGCGCATGTCACCACAATGTTTAAACTAAAATAAATTAAACATAAAACATTGCACGAAACTTAAACTAAAAGTAACCGCAGGACTCTAAAGAGATCAGTGTGTAGGAAATGCAATTTGGATGGACTGTGTTGTACCTTTGTGGTAAAAAAGCAGCTTTCTACTACGAAATTAATATACAGGTATGCGAAGTTAGCGTACTGTGCCCGAAACGAGATTTTCACCCTCTATTGCCTTAGATGACAAAAAATTGATTATACCGAGTGCGACGAGAATCACCCTACCTTAACCATTTATTTTAATAGGTGGAATTCTTGGCTGGCGACGCTTGTTAAGAAGATCGGCAAATTGCATATCTACTGCATTTGGGCCAGTATGGCACTACGCTTGGCCCGTAAGAAAACGAATGCCAGCATAAGGTAAAAATCAAATAAACTACAAAAATTAAAAACGTGCACGAAAATAAAACTAAAAGTGACCGCAGGAGGCTTGATAAATTTGTGTAGGGAATGGACTGTGTTGTACCTTTGTGCTTAAAAAATGCTTACTACTAAGAAGTTAATATAAGGGTATAAGAAGCAAGCTTAGTGAGCCAGAAACGAGATTTTCACCCCTGTATTGCCATAAACGACAAAGAAGTGATTATATTGAATGCGACGAGAATTACCATACGTTAATCAGTTATTTTGATAGGCAATGTTCTTGGCTGTTGACACCTGTTAAGAAGATCGGCAAATTGCATATACGAAAGTCTTTAAAGTCAGAAATTTATCGTTGCGTTCCTAGTAAGCAATTGTGTTTGAGAGAGTTCGCGCAAGCTGCGCCCATGAACGAAAATCACCACAGGAGACGTGTTGAAAAAGCATGTTGTAAAGAGCATACGAAAGACCGTCGTCATGAAAAAAATGTAAAATATACATCACATTTATACAAACACACTTTTGTTAATTTAAAATTTACTGACAGAAGCAAACCATCTTGCTGACGAAATAATCCATAATTATGTGATAATTTCTTGTTTTATTCCCCTACATTTTCATAAAATATAAGCATGATAATTCATAATAAGTAAATCAAATTCTTCAAGAGTAGATGCCCCGTATAAAAAGCTTGCCAATTATATCTTGGATCATAAATTGCCTCCAAAATTATTAATCATTGATCAAACAGCAGCAAATTCATCCCCTCTTAAATAACGCAATGACGTAGTTTTCCACTCCGAAATCAGCTTGATGTGTGAATTCTTCATTCTGGTAGAAAGTAAAGCTTTCTGGAGGAGGTAAATATACAACTTAGAGAACCAAAAATATGCGTAAGGAAAAAGGCAATATCTGACTCTCGGGAAACTTTTGGTTGTTTTTTTTTTCTTATAACCTAAAATGGGAATAAGTGCTAACTGCGATTTCCTTTATTGAGTTACAATGAACATATGTTTAGGAAATAAAAAAAATATGCTTGTGAACACTTCAACATATTGAGCACAGGCTGTTGTTCATTTTTATAGGGGACCTTAATTAACATTCAAATTTTTTGCTGATCATGAAGGTTTTCATATTCTTCAAAAATTTAACAACAGCATAAACCATGTTGCCATCTGCATGCTTCTTCTGAATAAGAAATAAATCGTCCTCTAAGCTGACTTAATCGATACTCTAAGACACCCTTAATCAATTCTGTAAAATATATCCTTCAACTACGTCTTACAGCGAGAGTACATGCAATGCGCTTTATCTAACCAGGCCTACTTAGCTCTCAAACTGACAGCACAGCATCTGAAGAAGAAAGGAAAAAAACCAAAAAAGGAGAATTTCAACCCACAAAGTTCCGTTTTCGAAATGCCCCAGTCGCGCGGCGGAGGTAGTAATCTTCGAGACTGACATATTTCCCGAACTGTATGTCTTTCCCTCGGCCGCACAGGTTTCTCTAGCAGGCTCTGTAGACTAGTACAAAGACGTTGAATTCTAGTCTCAATGGACTCTGAATGCTGCTCCTGGCGCTGCTCCTCAGTCCGTATCATCGTCGTCCTCGTGGTTGTTGCCAAGGTATCCGCCACCGCCGCATCATTCATCCGGCCATACATGGAGCTGTTGTGAGGTTGTGAGGTGGCAGTTTCTAGCTCGTGGTCCAGAGCCTGAAATCGGTACAGATGTGCATCCGGATGAAAGGACTGCCGCCAGGGGCTTCTCCGTCCATCCCCAACTTGTCCCTGGTGGACTTCCAGCATTGGCCACGGTCGCCAAGCAACAGCAGCAAATTTTTCGTCACTGGTGTATCAGCGACGTTGATATCAAGGGACAGAGTGGACGGGGGGTTTAAACGTCACCGAGATTCTGCCTGTGTGCGCGCGGGTGCAATGTGTGTGTGTGTACGTTGGATTTAGATACCGAACGGCCTTTTGCTGCAGCCTTTGTGCAGTCACATATTTCGGTCAGTGGGCGGCTGCTGCTGCTGCAATGCA